TGCATGACTGGGACACATTACAGTGATGAAATTCATATTGTAAGTAATAATTTGGGCTCCTCCTATGCATTGATGGATATAAAATGCACTCACCACTCAGGGAAGGAAAAAACCCTAAGCATCAATAAATAGTTCAATAAAAACCATCTGCTCAAAGCACAGCAACAATAAAAGAAAACTCTTAGGATACATTAAAAAATAGACTGTAATACTAGAATAGAGTGGGTGACTAACAGCACAACACCTCCTATGTACATACAAAGCTTATGTTGACACAGTTCTTTATATTTGTACATGTGAAGTACAGATATCTTACCTAAATTCGTCCTCCAACACTCTCATACTTCCAAGTGAATTCAGTGTAGTATCTAACAGTAGAATTATTTAATTTTCATTTAGAATTGTTTAATCTGTGTAGGCAGACAAAATTTACTACTTAGGAAAGGAAAAAAATAATGGTATTTCTTTTCCTTTTACAGTATCATGTTTAAAAACAGTATAATTAAACTACTTACCCTTTCATAAACAAAGGCTGAACATGTGAATATTTTAAGTGTAATCTGTAAATCAAATTTTAGACAACACTACTGACTTATATTTAGAGAGGAAAAACTATATTATAGAAGATAACTAAACATAATAACACAGTTTATTTGAAGATCTTAAATTTTTTTTATTTCATAATGGTCATGTGTTACCTTCCAAGAGTAAAAGTCACGGTACAGTGGTGCATCAGTCAGTGTATGAATCACAAACCATTAGAGCTTGTACTTCTTTTTATTCATTTTATTTTGTTTTCTAAAAGGTTAATGTACATGTATACACAATTCAAAGAACTTCAGATATTTTTAGAGAAATCAATATTTTTCCTGTGACTTTACAGTAGTGTTAGAGTTCACTTTTTCTTTATTTCTAGTAAAAAAAAACCCAAAAACACAGAGACAGACAAAGGAATTTTCCAGTCTTCATTTCTCGGAAACTATTCATTTGCTATGTTTTTCAAAATAGCATTTAAAACTATTGTATATGATTTGCTGGTAAATATTGCTGCTCTCCCTTGATTCTTTCCCAGAAAGGTTAGCTGTGGACCTTGCAAATTTGTACTCAGTTTTATGTTCTACATTTGCTTCAAAAAACAAATCTAAAAATCAATAATAGAACTATTTCTTTACATTATACCTTATTTCATTAACACCTTTTTGGCTTTCTTCATTGTACCCTATTTTATATTTCAAAATCTTGTCTTGCATGTGCAACACCTTGTTTTACAAAAGGGCATAGCAACATTAAAGTTGCAAAAAAAAAAAAAAAAGCAGCACGTTGATTAAGAGGTTTTGTACAAGCTGTAGCTCAACTGAACAATAACAAAAAATCCTCAGTGGTTGTGTGGTGTATGAGAAAGCAAAATAGCCAAAGTATTCTTCAACAAAATGAGCTGTCTGCCACGATTTATCTGTACAATTCCATAACAGCTCCTGCCTGTTACGTTACACTTCTCAAAAGTATGTCATTAAGCTGCCATAAAAGTCATCACAAATTGCTTTTTCTCCCAAACTGATAATAGACTTATAGATCTAATTTTCAATCTCCTTTCTTCATTACTTTGATTCTTAAGGAGAGTATGACATTTGCTGTCTGAATACTTTGTAGTAATATCTGGCATCTCTACAGCAGTTCTGTATGAGTGTCTCTGAGCTTTTAATAGGTTTGTCTTAACAGTGCCTTGATGACATATTTATTTGTCTCTATTGCAGACATTTAAAGAAATTGTTTTTATAATTTCACTGAAAAACTACAAGACTTGTTAAAAAAAAAAAGACACAACAAAGCCTTCAGCGCTGTCAGTGTGCTACACCATTAAAATCCTGACCCTTCACAGCACAAGAGCGAAGAACAAATGTGAGGCCTTCTGGTTTTCATTCTAATCTTTTTAACTTCATGGACTGTCCTCTACACAAAACACGAGACTGATTAACAGAAACAACTAAGTAATTGAGAAAATATCAACAAATTAAAAATTAGATTTTCATTCTTATGGTGATCCCTCCTCATTTTTCACCACTCAACATATGAAACATTTCTTGTACATATAGGCCTTCATATGTATCAAACTAACGCTCAATACTTGAAACTGGCTTTGCTAATGAACTAAGTGCACTTGTGACAAAAGCTAGGACTAGGCTGGTTTAGAAAGTTGCTTGCAGGGTTAATGAAAGTAACAGGAAAAGATCACAGGAGCAATGATGGAGAATCAGAGTGAAGGAGAAACAGAGAAGGAAGTCTCCCTTTTATCATCTCACAACCAAATTTTCCAAAAATCCACCACCCAAGTAGCCTCTAATGATGCAAGTCACTTTCAAAGCACTTGACCAAATATTTAATTACTCTGTGCCAGGCCAATAAAATATAGATCCTATGTCAGATTTTTCAGCACTGATCTTCAAACACAAGTGTGCTATTATGCATCACACCCAACCCCAGAGACACAGTAGGACTCTGTTTTACCCAAAAGGTTGATGAGAGAGCTAAAAATAGAGACCATGTTTCCCCAGCCCCAGGGATACTACTTCTACCATGACACAGGGCCTGATATTTCTTTGAGAATACCCCAAGTCCAAACTGACAATTGACAGTCATTTTTACTTAGACAAAGAAACCTAAACCCCTCAACACTCTCATAACACAGGCAAACCACCACAGCTCTTAAGTGCCATGTTTCAAGACATTCAAAGAAGTCTTCAGAGCAGTTAGTGAGGGTGTGCCTGTACTCTACAGCAGCAGGACACTTCTCAGACTAATTACTTCACATGGAGCTTCCTTGCTATAGTCCTGAGCAAGCTCATTTATCTTCATATTCTATTACGCAGTGTAGAAACATCCTCAGACAAATCAATTTCTCTAGGTAAGGATATACATTTGTTGAGGCAAAAAGCAGTTTAAGAAGCATTATTATGAACAAATGCTCTCACAGTATAACCATTTGTACTTCCAACTGACTCCCACGTTTAAATTCTTCATATATCAGAGTGGATTCAAACTGAAATGGGAAAAAATGCAGTGTTCTGCTTATAGAAATACATCAGTAACAGCTCAGCTGAAGTCTGGCAAGGGGAGATGCAAGACTGTTTTCCTCCCCTAGCACAAGGGATGTGATTTGGTACTCTTCAGAAGACAAATTAGTCTGAACAACAAAGAAACATCAAATTCCAAAAATATGTATGCATTGGAAACAAGTCAACAGGTGAAGTTTGGTAATAACTTTGCCATACTCTTTGTCTACACTGAGCGTGTTTAAAGGGAGTGTTTCCTTTACAGACACTCTTAGAGCCTAAGAACTCTCAATTCCCAAGACTCAATTCTTGATTCACCCTCTCTGCTGTCAACAACTATCTGTAAAACTTACTACAAGGTATGCAATTTTACATTCCTCTAACACCAATTTGGCACAGAAAAATCAGAAGTTTAAAGCTTATCTTGTCAGTGATTTATACAATCACATAATAGAAAGCAGCCATTTTTCAGGTATAAAATGCACACACCCTCACCACCCCAAAGGACACCACCATAAGAAAGTGCTTTCTAATGGTCAAGAAACTAAAGTACCTCTCTCCCTCCTGTACACTGTATTATATGGCTTTCAACTAACCAATCTTATGCATTCACTCAATTAATCCTCACTGTTCACTATGTGGCATCTTGCTGTAATTTACAGCACCTACATGTAAAATCATAACTGGAAAACCTCTCATTTCTCTGTTGATCACTATTAGGCACGTGAATTATTTCCTTATAGTAACTACTCCCCAGCACCTCCATCAGACAATTTTATGGTTCTTTTTTCAAGGTAGCTAACTGGCAGACAGTGATGTGCATCAGGATTGCCCATGATTAGAGATGGTTGACTTGAAATACTTTGGGTCCCTCTTCAGAGGATAAAGCAATTAAACAGCACTTTGTCAGTACAAAGTACAACTTCAATCTCTTTCAGTGCTATCATGTGTTTTCAAAGCTGACATTAATCGGTCCCAAGAGCCTGAACTCAGAAAATGAGAAGTTCACAACTAATGGCCATATTTAAAACATGTGGTTGAAGTGAACCACCCAACCTCACACAGGGGTTCTACGGATGAATTAAGATTTGCCTTTAACTCTTCAGAATAGCATCCAACACCTCTGGGTGTAAATCCCATCTGTCAATGTTAATTCTCTCCTTTCTTCACCTACCAGGTCTCCTCCACCTTCAGCAGCTATGAGGAGGCAAATCTGAAGGAAACAAACTCATTAATTAGCACAGCTGGATTAATTTCCTAAATGTCATTTATCTGGATTTCCTGAAAACAGCAGGTGCTTTGTGGATAAAGAAAGAGTCTGAAATTACACCAGAATATGACATTTTAAGGCAGAAATTTATCATGACCAAGCTGAGTTTGCACCAACAACTTCTATCCCAGCATTTCCTATCTGTTGAGAAGTTTGTATTGCATCACTGTTAGAGAACTCCACCTTCCTTGAATTTTCACTTCATGCAGTCTCAAATAACAATATAAGATTTAAATCCATGTTTGTATTGCCATGTCACTTGATCATTTGCAGCTTCAAGCTTGAGAAATTCCAACTACAGGACCTTTTAATACTGAATCTCTGCAAGGGTATGACTTCACTGCAAATCTATTGGTCTGTGCAATAACTACAACACAGCACAGGGACATTATAGGATTAGGACTTCCAGTGCAGCAACCACCAGAAATCTCCCAACACTAATTTCTATAAGAAACCTTGGTATCACCTCAGAAAAGTGAGTTTCTTTTAGTTTTACCAATGCCAGCACGTAACATATCACTGTTTTCCTTGTTTGACAGCAAGTCAACACCCAATCCCTAATTCCAGAATGCTTTACAAACCACAGCAGTGTCACATTTCTGTCTGTGCTTTGCCACTTGAGTTCATCATCAATAAATACTTGTTTGAATGCCTGCTTAAAAAAGCCAAAATTCAAACTCACCTCATTCCCACCAACAGCTTTGGTCAAAATTACAGCAGAAGACACAGGAGGTGGCATGCAGCCCACTGTCTGCAAGCTGAAAACAAAAAAAAAGAATGTTACATTCCTTTCAGGAAGCAAACACTAAGCAACCTGCTGCCTTAAAAGACCAAATAGCAGAAAGTAGAAAGTCTTATTACCTGTGCAGTGCAATCAGTTTCCAATCAGTTACAGCCCTGCACCAGGAAGAGCACTCCTGCTGGCAGCATTTCTATGCCATCTCTCACCAGTCAGCACAGTGAAGAGTCACGTCACCATGCAAAAAGCACAAACACTTAACCTCTCTGTGACTCCACTTCCCCATCTGTAGTACTGTAGCTCTCATTCACAAAGGTCTCTAGATCTATCACAGACTTCCAGATAAAATCACCTGACTGCCATCAAAGCATCAACAGCTTTCTCTTACACTTTAGAAATCCAAGATACCTATTATTATTGTCATTTTAGCACTGTTTGTGCAGCAAAGTTATTGAAGTGCACAGTAAATGCTGTTGCAAAGTAAGAAAAAAGTGGCGAACTTTCCTTTGTTTTCAAAGACAGTCCACAAAATCACACCACAATAAATTACCATTAAATCTGAGGCCAAGTAAAATAGGGCTTCTGAAGAAAAACTGTGCTGACTTGGAAGGAACAGTAATTCATGGAATAAAATAGATTTCAAAATCCCCAAAAGTGTGGAATCTACATATGATTTCAAGTAGTGGAGCTTGAGATTCTAATTCAGATCAATTACTAGTTGTGAACTACTTTGCATTCATAACCCTGTCAGTAGAACCCCCAAGAAAGACAGTGTCAAAAAGCTGCAGCAAACAGAAGTATTAAATCCAGGCACCAGGGTGCACATTGCAGTACAATTGATATTCTGCAAATATACAAAAAGCTTAAAGAGAAGAAACAGATAAGTGACAATGACAGCATTACCTTTGTCAGCTACAGACACTGTGGGAAAGGAAAGAGGCAACCAATGTAAGCATTATATATATCCAACCACAAGGTGCTAAGCACCACCTTGGAAGCACAGAGCACCTTCAGCTTACAGTGAAATAAGCTATGGTAGCAGAGAGTTGTCAGCACACGGCAAAATAAGCTCACACTGAAAAGAAAATAAATAAAGGAAAAAGAAACTGTACAGGAAAGTTTGGAAACATATAGGAAAATATACAGAAGACAACCACATGGCAATTCCGATGTCTGTCTCCTACACTGTGATACTGTTATCTCTCCTATGTGGCAGCCAGCTCCTCAAACTTCTCACCTGCTCTAATAAGGAGTGGATGAAATTCAGAGTTATCCAGAGAGGTACAAAATGTGTGCAAAGGCATTCATCTCAGCTGGCAGGGATTTTCCATACTATAAGGGAAAGACTTAATCATACAGTCTCTGTTAACCCTCTCAAATTAAAATAATACATTTGAAATTAAAAATAAAAATCCCTATCAAGCAGTATTAATCTAAAAAACCTGGTACACATTAAAAGGACACACTCTTGAGTGTATTGAAACATGCACCTGCAAACTTTTTTCTATTTGTATCACTACACAATTCTACCAATATATAAACAGATTCCTCTAATGGCAAACAGACTACTAGAGATAACAACCAACCAACTCATATACTCCACTGCATCAGGCCATGCTGTGAGTACTAAAATCAGGGATTCAGACACTTGCTGTTCTGCTGATACCACTACAGACAACTGAGCAGCAGAGTCTGAAGTCACATGTTTTAGAGATGTGAAAGCTCCAAAGTCATATCTTATACCCAATCTTTGCATCTCGTGCCTTACCACCTGTGCTCTAAATGCTCTAAATGATAAAAGTGGAGAAGAGGTGAATCTGTGCATAAATTAATAACCTGCGTCGTGCTCCTTTTCAAATAGATGTTGTCAATGCAAAACCTGGCCAGCTAACAAAAAAAATAACTTAGAAGATGCCTGGGAGGATGTCAGTTTGTCCTCTATTTTATAAATTTCAAAAAAATTGCAAAGCAACAAACTTCCTAATATCATCCCAGACAGAGAGGGGGGGAAAGAAAACAATCCCACTCAGCTGTAGAAACACAGGTGAAAAGCTGGTACTACCCAAATCTGCTGCTCAAATAACACTTGCAGCAAAACAGACCATTAGGGAGGATGGGAGAATCTACCATGCATTCTGATGCAAGATGGAAAAGGTTATGTGTGCTGTGCCCTTCAGGCATAACCTTGTGTAGGGAGCAGGGAAGAACTGCAGTGCCCAGGGGAACCACCCTGCCAAAGGGTGCTGCATGCAGAGCACATGCCTGTTTTTCCAGGCCTTTTTGAGGGCTATCAACCAGCCTCCCCCACATGCTGTACCAAATGTGTGATAAGGAAGTAACTTTGCCCAAACCTGTCTTCTTCCCTCCCTGTTTTCCTTAGGTACTGTAGCATTTCTAAGAGAATAAAAACTACAGCTGTGGGGGATTAGAGCGAACTTTTGTTTACACAGAACTGCCACAGCACAGTCCTTCACATCACCTCCTCACACATGCACAGGGACCTGCTTTGAAATGTGTTATTCTAGAATTAGGACAGAGCTCAGTATCCTCTGCACCTGCATCACACTGTACAGCTCCCAGTGCAGTGGCTGCTGCTCTGAGTGTGTCCTGAACAGAAGTATTTCTCAAGAAAGCACTCTCAAAAAAAAAAACAAAACAACCAAACCACCTCAATTAAACTCCTCAATCTGAACATTCTTTCAATGAAGCCCCAATACAACAAAGTTACTGCACTAAAAGATAAAATTGCCAAATCAGAAGCAGTACTCAAGGAACTAGTGCTTGAAAGGCAGCTTGAAGCATACAGAAGTACAGCAGCTCACTAGTAAGACACAGACATGCTCTCATGACAAATGAGCCTAGTTTAGGCTCCATATTTAGGAAGATACATGCACAAGTATTTATTTTCTTTACAAAAATAAATACATCCCAAGTTTTATGAAGAGTTTTACAGCTGTACATGCATATACATACAATTATACTTGTTCATGCAATAGATCATGTCACTTTAGTACTAAGAATCAAAGTGGTACAAGATTCATGGGAAAGAAGGAATGCGACATGCTTCATGGAACCAAAAACTCCACAATAATCTCTTTCACTTTGCACTTCAGAAACTGAAACTCCATGGATTAGAAAGGAATTTTGGCTACTGTGGAAAATCACGTATTTCTCTTAGGTGACAAAAAACTTCACAATTATTTTATTTTAAAGAATACCCTTTACTAAAAATAGCTAAATACAAATGAACATCATATAGCAATTTTGTTATTTCCTTGATTTACTGATACTGTTAAGCAAAAGGTGTTAAGTGTTAACATTTCATTGATGTTGTCTCAATGTCACCTTTTCACTATCATTTGGACCAATTCACACTTTATGGAGCAACAGGAGAAGCCTCTTACAAACAAAATTAAATGCTCCTTTATGTTTAGGCCTTGTAGAAACATAAACATGAGCAGCTTTTTCATTAAACTTTTAAGACAAAGAACTCCCCAAGCAATGTTTCACCAAGCAGTAAGAAACAATGGGGATTCTTTCACTAGTTTTCTGAAATAATCAATTTTTACATTCAAACATTCCAGTATACCTGCATGGCACCAAGTATTGACTCCCATTCCAAAAAACACCTTTTAACTTTTTTGTTTTTTAACATGGCATCTATCCCTAGCACACCATCAATGTAGCTTTGCACATAGGCAGTGTACACTCAAGGTTTAAAACACACTGTTTTCATGTTAACTTAGTTTCTGCTCATTACAAAGTTCTTGACTTAAAAAAACTTTGCTCTTTTCCCCCATAATTTGCCTGGAAACAGATACTAAATCCATGTAAGAAATGCTCAATGAAAACTACTTAAAAACAGCAGGCCAGAATGTGGCATATACAGTATTTATTCAGTGATTTATGTTTTTCCTTCAGTATTCCTTTTCTTTCTTCCTCACCTTCCTTGACACCCAACACATCCCGTCAGCTGTGTTTTGTGAAAAAGAAAGCTAACCTGTTGCAACCTCCCTACACATAAGACTGTCCAGACTTTCTGAAAATGAGACCAGGTTCCTGAAGGGATAATCTTGGGCATGTACTTTGTTTTCAATAGCAAAGTCCTGAAGTACAAAAAACAACCAGCAAAATCTGTTCACAATACCACAAAGCACCAGTTCCAGGATAAGCATCCCTTTAAGAAAACAGCTACAAATATATTTTAGTCCATTATACTTAAACATACCCTTTTAAAAGCCATTCATTTATAGGTGTGATTGATAACAGCTGAAGAAAGACCCATATTGCTGTTGGGAAGAACACAAGTGTAAAAATCTGGACAAAAAGGTGTAGTTTCACATGCATCAAAGCACTTGTCAGCTCCTGCAAAAGAAAAAGAAGAGAGGAAGTTGCAGTCATAACAGCTAAAGTAAGATCACGTTTGTGCTTTTAAAACTAGGATCAGTTTTATAATACAAAAAGAGTGCATGTCAAAAAGTCACCTTTAGGGATCATCAGATCTCTGCTTTAATAATGAAGTACATCCAGACAACATAAAAGCTGTCTGCTCCTGGGCATTTTTCCACAATTGTCCACTACTTCAATAATAGTGTAGACTCAGAACAGCAGCTTTTCAGCAGGCAGCCTTAGCACTTTGTCACAGCTTCAAAACCTGTGTTAACTGCACTGATGGCTGTTTACTTTACGGACTTTTGACATCAAGGGGGGTGAAAACTTGTAGTGAATACATGATTTCAGGTTCCTCTGTCTAAAGAGAGCCACAAATGGCGATACTCATTTATACTGTTAAAAAAAACCCCTATATTTATAGATGTTTGTATTACCAACCATTCATTTGTGGTGTTGGGGTTTTTTTTATGTTTGTTATTTTTTTTCCTAAAAGCAAAGGAGCAGACTTTGATTATTTATTATATCAATAGGAAATTTATAGGAAAAAGAAATACGGCTGATGAAGAGTAACAAAGAAAGAATACCAAGACCATAACAAGCTAAAAACTGTTGAGCCATAAATTTCCGAGAAATAAAGTCTAAAGCACACTGGAGACTCAGAAAACAACAAAGAAAAATTTAATTTTAAATAGTGTAAGAGCACTCCAGAGAGGTGATCAAGTACCCTCAAAGAAAAAAACTCTTCAGCTAGCTCTGTGTCTCTCTGTTTCTGCCTTTTCAGACATTTCAAGGACCTTCTACACAGGTTTTTGAGTACAAGGAAAGAGCCTTGCACATTTCAACTCATTCAAATCTCTCAGACTGAGAATAAAAATTCCTCTTCCTTTGTCTCACAGTAACTCACACTCTTCTCAAGTAAACAATGCAAAAGAACTGATGGCACTCTTATTCAAAATCAAATTCGCTGGGATTCTCCAGCTGACACTCCAGATGCATTAAACATACCTATCTATATCTCACATACAGAAGTATCCTACTAATTTCGTATTTTCACAATTGGAAAATGCCTCAAAACCAGAGGGTTTTAAGAAGACTCTGTGATACTTCCAAAACAAAACCCAAGACAGAAAGAAAGCCTTGTTGTAACTTCCAGAAGATGATACAACACAGCCAACCTACTAAATGTATTGATGGAACAAATCTTTGCAGATCTAAATTACTAATCTTGAAAATGTTTCCAGTGATTACCTTTCAGAATAGGAATAGTAATTTAGAATAGTTATCATTATAATAGTATGCCTTAGACTGGATGATCACAGCATAAACGCTGAGGCAGCCTCAACCTCTTAAACAATTTACAAGGGCTTATCCAAGAAATACATCTGCCACCTCAAAAAAGTTGCTGGAAGCTGCTAGTTATGACTCTGTTTCTGCACATCAGACAGAACATGTTACCCTGTCTTCCCCAGTATTTCACATCCTTTAGGGAGCCTATCCAGCCTCTCCCTGGCTGGTGTGGGTCCCTGTTGCCATCCAGCCACTCTTCCGATAGTCACAGATGGACTCCTGTGAGTAAATAACCACACAGAGTAAACAGTGTTCTCAGTGGCTTGCCAAATTCCTCGTTGAAATGGATAACTCAAGTATGTGATTTAATTTCTGGGGCCCTGTGGGAGGTATTTGCTTTAAAAGAGCAAGCTTTCCAGTCACTGCAAACTGAAATAGCATTATATTAAGGTGGAATGAAATGTTCTTGTCAGAGAACACTGAGTATTTCTACAAATGTAAGAGGACCTTTGTCACCTCTGGTTCTGAAAGTGTAACAACACCATGCAAAGACAGCCTCTCCTTGAACATTGCAAATTATTCTATAAAATGCTTTCTGAACACACTAGCAAATTTTTTTCAGCATGCACTTATACAGCAAATTAAACCAGAAGTGTAACACTAAAAGAGTATCAATTATTTATTATTCTGTCAGATTTATCAGAAGGCCTCTGTAAACACAAACAAACCATCCAGCCAAAAAGAAAACAAAACAAAAACTACCATCCAACTAACAAATACACTAACGAAGAAAAAACAACACACACACAAAGAAAAAACAAAGTCAAAAGCAAAGACCATATACTTTGCAATCCAATAAAAGGCCTACTGAGTAACAATACTAACTTTAGGTTGTGCCTTAAACAACTAAAACATGCCTCAAAGTATTTTAATAAAAACATGACCTGGCCACCTAAGACATATAAGGATTGTTTTTAACATACACTTTAGAAAGTAAGAGCACAAGCTACAATATGAGAAATTCTTTTCTTCTTCTGTCTTCTACCCCCATGGCAGAAATTCAGGAAAGGTTCTTCATGTTTCTTCATGAAGCTGAATAACAGCACTAGCCCTAACTGCTGCTCCCAAAACAACATGAGATCAGCTACTTGGACATAAACATCAGCTCCTGTAAAAGCTTCATTTACATCAGTATACTGCTTTTAATACCATAGATGGAAAAAAGTTATGTAAGTTCAAAGTAAGACATGACACATTGCCCAGAAACCTGTCAGTCACATCACCTTAACTGGAAGAAGTTATATGCAAAGTACATGGAGAACCTCATCAGGACTTTGACAATGCTGCTGATTTCTCACAGCTGCTTTGCAAATAATACAAGGTCTCAAGGATACAAACTAGTGAAAAGCAAAGAAATTTTACTTTTTTTTTTTTTTTGTCTGCATGCAAATATTCCTAAACCTAAAAGAGGAAAACTCCACTCTATTAATACTACTCAGGTTTGTATTTTGAGTTCTCTTCTCTGTGGAAGAGAAGCCTCCACAGCTTATTTCCATTGAAGTTGAAAAGATGAAAGTTCACCACTATAACCATTATTCAGGTGGAGAGACGTTTTGTTATTGAATGTTCACTCAAATCCCAGTCCACCAAGAGATAACTGGACAAAATTGTGATGATTCTTTCAGGCATTAGTATCATGCAATTTATGAATAGCATCCCCTGTTAGTCAACAGCACAAAGGAATCGGAAAACTAGACTGGCAGAGATATGCAATGTTTCATTTCAACTCTGGTTGCTCCTTCTCTTGGCAAATAGCCATCATCTCCTTTCTCCACTATTCCTTTACATGCCCCTTCATCTCCTCTGAATCCCAGACTGTTCCTCTCTGAATAACATGTCACACAGAATTTTAAACAAATCTCAGTGCCTGTGATATGCACCAGAGTGCAGGTACCTCAAATCCACCTGTCCACAACAAAATCCTATGGGAAAAGATTGCCAAGACTTTGCCCTTGTATATTGACATTGTATTTGCATAGGAACCCTTTTGTGCTAATCCTAGCTGCTGCCCCGGCCCTACCAAAAAAGGTAACTTAAATCCACCAGGTCTTCGGTTCCATCAATCCAGCAGTGAACAGCTGCATCTCACCCTGATTTGAGTTTGGGACACAACCAGGGTGGAGATCCAGTCTCCAAATCGTGCTCATCACATCCATTTAGTTAAAGCTGTGCAGAGACAAACCACCCACCCTCTGTGGATGGGTGACATTTATTCACACTATCCTTTTCATCATCTTCATCACTTTGTGAAGCACTTTCTGAAATCAAGGAGGGTTATTCCTTAAACATCTAACATTTATCTTCTCTTGATAGCCATCCTCCCAGCACCACCACCATTCCAATTACATTCAAATCTGATCAAAAGGAACACAAAATTTTTTTATAGCATAACAGGAATGAAGCAATGAAACAGTACAGTACCTCAGTTTTTAAGGAGAGTCCACTGTTAAAGAATATAGCTGAAACAGCAATGTAAGTTATTGTAATTTCAGGTTTCAAGGGTCCTAAAAAATACAAACATAGAGAACAAAGTGAACTACAGTCAAAGGGATAATGATATGCATATACTATATCAGAGTAAATGAGAATACTTAAAAAATACCTGGAGAAAATCTAACAGTAAAGTCTGTAATAAAAAGAATTGCATTTCTATCAAATTACAGAAAGCATGCTATTCATTTTAAAATAAAAGTAAACCAGAGAGTGTAGAGTGAGTTATGTCATCATATAAATTTGACTTCCATGAGTAGAGGCCACTGAGAACTCACAAGTAAATTCTGGAAACTTGAAAATGGGGGCTTTTCACAGTTCTGCCATCAGACTATCCCTACAGCATCAACAAACTCAAACCATGCACTCCAATAAAAATATTACCTGGTACCTTCACAGGGCCACTGGCATCCCTCACACAGCTGCCTCTCACTTTTTCCCTACAACACACACACCTGTCTGGCTGCCTGCACAGAAGATCCCAAATCACATCTTGCAATGATTTCCTCAGAGCAATACAATTCTGTGTTATTCCACTCACAACAGAATACAGTTCAAAATGGCTCATTCCAGCCCCACAATTACACATTTCAGACACTACTGCAGTGAGATCAGCAAGGGCAGACGCCTGCACCACCAAGGGTTCCTCTGTATTGAAGGCTTACATTTGTATATATTTATATACATTTTTCAGGGAGATTAAAATATAGTCTTTTTTACACTCCTATAAAAATGACAAATACTCTTAATACACTTTGCCTTCAGAGGCCACCAGGCATAAAATGCACGTGCTCATTTTTCATGAGCATTCAACCAGATATTATGTTAGAAAGAAAATATTAGCAGTCTACTTAGGACCAAAGTAATATCCTCACTCTACAAGTGACCCTAAGTTGTCAGGAGCAAAAGTGCAGCAGCAAACAAGCCAGCCTTGACTCACCACTGCAAAGAGAGGAACCTTTCTGCTCCCCCAGATGAATGATGCATTGATGGTCACACTGGAGTAAGGCCAATGGTCCTTAAATAAGAGGGACTTGATTGTACAAGTCAAAAAAGCATCTCAAGTCATTTCAACTCAAATCCTATTCTCAGAGAGAACTCTGTTGACAAGACACTAAAACTGTGTGCCAAACACAAAAAAAACCCCAAAAAAACCAAAAAACTAACACAACAAGAAAAAATCCCAAGCAAGCTACATATATGAAGTTGAAGGTAAAAATAAAACAGGAAATGCAAGAGTTACAGTTGCAACAAAGACATGACTAGTTGCAAAATTATGGCATGTTAACTGAAGAGATGGCAGGGGGGAAAAAACCCCAGAAGATTATATAAATACATAGCTCTACAGAAAACTATATGTTACAGACATGATTACCTCCTTTTTTCTAATCCTTTTGAAGATTAGAGTATCTATGTACATGCACATACAGCAGACAGGCAGAGAGTTAATCTGGCTAAAACAGGGGCTCTTCCAGGACTCAGTTTTTTTCTGGTTTATGATTTTTTTACTGGGCTACTGGAACTCCTTCTCCCAGGAGAAGCCTCTACCACCAGAGCAACCACACACTCGAGGAGCACAGGGAACTCTGGTCACAACAGAAAAATTCTTCTCACAAAGGAACTAAATGGGCTCATTTATCAAATAGGAAAACACACAAAAATGGCTTGGCTTATGTCATGAAGGTGACAACAACACAAATCTTTGTTATTTATGGCACAATCTTCCATGGGTATGGATGCTGGACCATCCATACCATTCACAAAAGCCCTGTAAATTACCATGCATGGCTTTGTCAGCTGGAAGATGACAAACTAAGGTTTTTTCATGTATTGATACTTCAAACCCCTCACCTCCTTCTTCTTTTAAAAAGAAATATTTTTCTTCCTTAGAGTACTGAGATCCCATAGTTTCAGAGGAGGGAATACCACTATGAGGACCATGTGCTCACTATTTTCAATCAATGTTTCCAAGATTTTTCAAGCAAGTTATCCCAGGAACAATACAGTGTCAAAGCTTGACATCTCTTTGCAGCACGATAATTTAATGAAGTGCTCCATCACAGTGCTTCCATGCAGGAAGTGAGCTGAGGAACAATTACCTCCTATTCTAGTTAAAAGGACCTCCCACGCGGCTGCTAACAATTAGCACGGCACTCAAAGCAGAAAGGGACAAAACACCTGATACTATCAATTTCAAGTCAGTCTCTAAGGTCTGCGGAAAACACAGCACGGATCCTGCAAGAAGCTCCACGTGGTTCTATTCACCCATGCAGAACAGCACAGCGATGTTAGAAGGGATCCTTGCACAGCAGGAATTTTGCCTACCCTGAACTCCATGAAGTACCGGAGCCTTAGTTGCCATAGCATGTGTTCAGAGCCATATTTCTTAAATCACTTTCTTTTTTTCCCAGAACCTAAGAGGTGGGGAAAGTTTGGCTCCTCAGTGAGAAACTGTCTAGCCTCAAACTTCAGCTCTGTTAAGAAGAAAAAAAATTAAAAAAAAAAAAAAAAAACCCTTTGCCTATAAAAGCACAGACAGATTCTTCCTCCTCTCACATAACATGGACCTGCTAGAGGATCTCTATTGAAGTGTTTTGCATTCCTTTTCTCAAACCATCAGAGAACAACTAGGAAGAAGAAATACAACATTTAATTTGTTCTTGGAATCTATGAATGTCTGGAGCTGAAGTTCCAATGGGAACTGACGAGGATACACCCCCTGCGTTTATACTTTAAGTTACATTGTTTATGTTTAAATAACATTGGACATTTCATCAGCCCTTGTTCCGGGAGCCCTCCCTACTCAGCAAAGGACAGCTCTGCTTTGCCCCGAGTGCCACCACTTTCCACCGGAGCATTTTCCCTGTTTTGCTCCCCCTTCCATGAGGAAATAAGAAGAAACAACAACGAGACCAAGAAAAATCCAAAACTGTAAAATACAAGTGTTCTACTGTAAAGCGAAAGAAAAGCTCTGGCCAAAACCCAGCTCCTGTGAGTTTACCACAGTACACCTCCGGGGAAGCTCGCAGGCGGCAGAAATCCATACCTGAGCTGCCGGGACTTGGTGCCCACAGCTCTGGAAGTTATGACTTAGTTGAACGGGAGCACGTTCAGAGCCAGTCACCACTTGGCTTCCATCACTCCTAATCCCAACAGAGCAGGGCGCTCCTCCAGCCGCTGGCACAGCGCCGAGCAAACACGGGAGCACGCTCGGGAACAGCTCCCGGGTTGCTGAGGAGCAGCGGCTGGAAGCAGGGAGGCAGAGGAGCCGATGGAGGGCAGGGACCCCGCACGGGCGGGACGGGGCGCGGCCGCCGGGAGTTGGCGGAGTCCCGGGGCTGGCGGCGCTCCCGGGCTCCGGGGCGCAGCGCCCGCACTCACCGCCTTTGACGCCGACGCCGGGCTCCAGCCGCGCCACAGCGATGACCAGCACGATGCCGAGGATGAACCACTCCTTCCGCAGCCGCTCCAGCAGCCCCATGGCGCTGCCCGGCTCGGCCCGGCGCCGCTCGGCCGCTCCGGGCTGCTGCGGGCGCGGGGCGGGGCGCGGCCCCACCGCCCGCCGGCAGGGCCAGCCGGATCCGCTGACGGGGAAAGGCTCACCCACCGCCGCCATCGCTACCACGCACCTCCTAATAGGCGCGCAGCCCCGCGCTGCCGCCCGCCCGTCCGCTCGGCTACGCGCCGCTGCGGCCCCCCCGCCGGCTCCGGCCGCTCCCGCCCCGCATCCCCCCGCCGAGGCGGACGCCGCGGGTGACGGCGGCGGGAATGGGACAGCGCCGTGGCTGCCGTCGCCGAGGGGGTCGGGGAGAGCGCAGGCACGGAGCCGGCGCCGGCGGGCGGGAGCGGGGCTGGGCGGTCGCGGCAGAGCGAGCACAGCGAGGCGGTGCGCGCTGTTTCGGTACATTACAACGCCCGCGTGACGGCCGGCGTTTGACGCGCGGGAGGGCGGGCGCGGGCCGGGAAGCGCCGGGCGGGATCCGGGATCCGGGATCGCTCCGTGAGGGCGGCCGCGGGCCGGGGCTGCCCGGGCGAGCTCCGACAGCTGCGCTCCCCGCAGCCCCGGGCGCGGCAGCCGGGAGCGCCGGGCGGGCGGGGCCGCCGCCGCGTCACGCACCTGTTACCGGTGTGCGCTCACGCCGCCGCCGCCAGGGACACGTGGATCGGGATCGCCCTGCAGTTCCCATGGAGCGCCTGCCTGTCCGTCCTGGGCAGACCCAAAGGCACCCGTTCACCCCTGTCGCGACACGCTGACAGCACCGCTCGAGCCGACCAGCCGCTTCCCCGCGGTTTCCCTGGTTTGCCTCTGTGCTAGAACCACTTCCATTAAAACAGTATCGTAAAACCTCTTCCTGGTGCTGCACCCGCGCCTTCCGTTCCCTATTCCCCTCTTCTGGCTCTTCCCCGATGGATTCATCATCCCGCCCGGCCGCGGCCACCGCGCTCCAAGTCCGCGAACAGGGAGATGCCAGAGCAGGGACGCTCCGTCTTCCAGCGGCTCCCGCCGGTGCCGCCCCGTCCCGCAGGGCTCTCCCACGCACGGCGGCTCTGCTGCGCGATTCCTGAACATCTGGGGCAAGTTTCATCCTGCAGTCTCTGCCGATGTATTCAAGCTTCAAGGAATAACCCCGACACGGGCTTTCTGCTACCAAAGAAAGAAATGTTTATGGCTGAAAGCTCAGCTGATCTCCAAGATGTGCATATTCCTGCGAGTCCTGGGAGGTTCACTTGTGTAAACAGGGATACATCAGAGCCGAAATGTTTGGATATGGGAGGGAATGTGCCTTCTCCCGCCCACAAGCAAACCCAAAATGTGAGGTTTAAAATGATTGTACATTTCACCACTTTACTGAAGTTTACTGGAGTACGCATTGATCCTCAGTCTTCTCAGGAGGGAGACAGATTGCAAAACATCACTGCACTTGACCTGTGCAATCACTGCGGGTTGGCTGTTTTGGGAGAAAATAAATGCATAATGTGTTCATCTAGAGCAAGCTGTGATTATAACGAGTGTAGGATTTTAATACTTGGAGGATTTGATTGCTGCACAGGAGAGATAAATCTGATGAAGGTGTACAGTCAACGTTTATCATATAAACTATATTAAATCTCTCTGTGGATACTCACTCAGAGGTGGCCCTAGCTCTGGGACATCTGCACCGTTCATGGATCAGAGCATGCACATCTTTTCCTGTGTGGCTCTGAAAGCACACCAGCAAGGGCACAGGCCCTCTGATCTGAACACAACAGGAGAGCAGGCAGCTGTCCATGGTTTCCCTGGTAGTTTTCTTGTGAATTTGTACACAGCCCTGGAGCTCCTAACAGAGATGGGAAGGAGACTTTTCACCCTGTTCCTAGTGGTTCCAGCCAGGCTGATGAGTTGCAAGATGCAGAGGCCTCACACTGGACCAGCAGGGCTAGAAGGCAGAAGCAGATCCAGCATAATTCAGGAAGAAATATAATAATAATTAATCTGTTTAGGTCAAAAGTTAGATCAGAAGTTAGAAGCAGCTGAATTTCATAGTGAATGAAAATGCTGCAGTATCAATTCCTGAAGAAGCTGCAGAGGGATGCAAAGAAGGGGCAGGTAACGAGGATGCTCAGTCTGGCAATAAAATTTGATCATGGAATAAAGATAGCAGTCTCACCCTGCTTTTGCATCATATTTTGTACATGGTAGTAATCCTGCTCCTCACTCCTTGCAGGTGGATACTAATAATGAATTTCTAATCTTGCTTAGTGTTCAAGTTAATTCCAGTTAATTTTGCCATCAAGTTTCAGCTATTTGCTCATAGTAGATCTAATAGGCAAAAGTTAGAAACCTCAGGTTCAATCCTAGGTTCTAAAAGATTCTTCTCAATTTCCCCTCCAAAGGGTCATTTCCTGTGCACTGTCCCAAGCCTGTTTCTCCTTCTCTAAAGAAGGATGACATATCTCACTAGGTAATACATTTAGAACAGTTAAGAAATATATATACTAAAAACCACAAACAAACAAACAAGAAAAGCCCCCAAAACCTAACAGTTATCAGATATAACAGAACTTCTGTCTACGCTCAAAATAAAAAATATAAACTTTAATGAAGCTTGCTTTGAGTGGATGCTTTGCCTTTAAATTTTTTCCAAGAGATCTGAAGTTGGTAATAGGCATCTTTTGCCATCTGAGTTACAAAATACCCGGGTTCACGAGGCTCTCTTCTTCTGTAATCTTTGCAATCATATGCAGATATTCTAAGATGTGTGTTGAAGGACTTCTACAAAGACATCGTAGCTGGTTTTTGTAGCTGTCCTGCTGTGACTGTGGTAAGCATATATGTCTCTCAGATTAAATAGATGAAACTGTTCCTGCTTTTAAAAAATAGAAGACACTGTAAGCCTTGCCGTGTCCCACCGGAGTGAAGTAGAAGGGAAGAAAACACTATATGTGAATTTTATAATTGGCAGGACACACACATCCTAAGTCTGTCTGCAATGCAGCATCACTGTTGCTATCAGGGAATTTATCATTCATATGGATGCATTTGGTCTCTGTTTTAGAGAGGGACATTTCAGTGTCTATCCTGTCATCCAAAACTGTCTCCTGCAACATTTCACATTCCTCCTCATGTTCCTATACAAATAATACATATACTCTAATAAACACCATGACTCAAACAGATCTGGAATGGTCTGGCACATATGTTTATTCTCTGTTGCATTGTACAAAAACATTTTAGGGTATATTTAGCTGTGGCTTAGACACAGTACAGGAACAAGAATTTAGCCTCTCTCTGATTTCACATGACCAAGTTTTATTTTATTTTTGTTCAACTGCAAACATACCTTGGGGCTTCCAGATGCTTTCCTGCCTCCAAAGGCCCTTGTGCTTCCTTCTGCATAATACAGAAGCTCAGTGACATGTGGCACCAGGTCTTTGTTGCTCACAGGTAGCCTGCTGACACCAACAGGGCTGTTTGTGTGAGCAGGGACAGGATTTCATGTCTGCAAAGATGCAGGAGTGGACTGGACATTTCTGGGCTTCACATTTTGAACCACCACTCTTGTGTGGTTTGAGCCTATTCCTTTTGTGTGCCCAGCCTCTGACCTGCACCACACACCTCACTGCCTGATAAGTGCACTGTTATTCTAGGGAATGTGCAAGGATTTTCATGCTCCTGAGTAGCAGATGTCATCTGATTATGTGTTTAGACAGGAGAGATTTTAATATAAAGGAGTGGGGATCACCAGATAAAGGGAGCTTAAATGAGAGGAAGAGATAGTATTAAATAATTTAGCTTGAAAAGAACAAAGATATTCAAAATGAACAAGATAAAGAGAGGTGTTAATTATAAATAAGAAAGTTGAGGAGAAAAAGTGGAAATATATGGGAGGCAGTTTACTACACATTTATATTTCTCACAAGCACTTAGTGGCATGATCTCGGATTTTCTCAGAGAAAATTGAGGAGATTGCTGTGCTGATCCCAGTAGCTGGATTTCTTCATGGAAGAGAAATTTACAAGTCTTTGTTGTGCCTTGGCCTAGGTGTTTATACTCCTTTAGGCATCTGCAGGGGATCTTTTGGTTTTTGCTACTGAATATTATCGAATACCTAAAAACGCTTAGGTATTGCCAGCTGCAGGACTTACTACCCTTAGCATAATGCAGTAGCAGGAATTATGTACAAGTTAAATTTAGAATAGCACTTAATGGGACTTAAATACACATATAAGTGTGCTTTTCTAAATAGAAGCTATGAGATGACTGAAGGTTTTGTGAATCTTTGGGTTTATTATAATGCTATGATCTTTTTTTTCCCAGGTACCATAAATGCAGAATACTTTTTTTGTTTTTAACTTGTAATAAAAGGTCCTCTTACATATTCAGGTATTCAACAAATAAGTGAATTTTTCTTTTACTTAAGAGCTCAGTGTGAAATTTTCATGAGATAATCTCAGGCATTAAGGAGAAAATTTAAAAGACAACAAGTGGGGGTTTTGCTGATCCCTTTCTAGAACCTGCTTGTTCTTACCAGAAACAGAACCTGGTTTACTAATGCTCCACTCATTATATTCTCTTGACTTACTTCTCCTCCTAGACTACCAGAAGACCATATAAATTTAGAGAAATTTTCATGTTTAGCATTTTTTCACAGAAATACAGTTTCCTAGTAGACAAAAAAGCTATAATGCATTCAGAAGGTTGCATTAAAAAAAAAAATAAAAAGGAAAAGAAAGCTATCAGCATAATAAAGCTGTTGCTCTTGATACAAATTACGGGCTTCTTCAACTGCAATTCAAAAGCTGAAGACAAAAAATTATTTTTTTTTAAACCTTGAAAAGCTGGACATATTTAAACCTGAAAAATTAAAGCAAGAACAGGAAATAGCTTCTCTGAATAATTTCACAATGAACAACTGTGTTTAATTAACCAATTAAATAAAAGACTTCAGAAATAAAGGGGGATACTTTCATATAATTTTCTCTTTATGCTTATAAAAACAACCTTCTAATATTATAATAATCATAACAAAATACCTACAATGGGAGAATTTTCACT